TTCCAAAGGACCGCTCTCTAGCATCTCCTCTCCCAACCTGTATTGGTAATGCTGGTTGCCCCAGCCCAGGTGCAGGACCCTGCACTTGGTCCTGTTGAACCTCATGAGGTTCACCTGAGCCCACCTCTCCAGCCTGTCCAGGTCCCTCGGGATGGCCTCCCATCCCTCTGGCACATCAGCTGCACCACCCAGCTTAGTGTCGTCAGCACACTTGCTGAGGGTGCACTCGATGCCACTGTCTGTGTCATTGATGAAGATGTTAAACACCGGTCCCAGTACGGACCCTTGAAGGACACTGCTTGTTAAGTTTTCCCAGCTAAATGTCAAGCTGTTGACCACTACTCTCTGGGTGTGACCATCGACCCAGTTTTTTTATGCACTGAACAGTCCACCCATTGAGCAATAGCCACCACTGTGCTCGGGGATGCCCTGAGTTCATTATACTGACAGCACAAACAGCAGTGACCACAGCAATTAGCAATCCACTATGCTGATGATGTGCAAATTAAGCAGTCCCACTGGACAGCCATGTCCTGGTGCCAATTAACCACCAGCTCAACTGCTGAGACACGGGCAGAGGACAGAGGTGGCTGTCTCTAGCTGACAGTTCCACCACTGCTGTGGAAGACCACTCCTAAAAGCAAAGCAGACTGCCACAAACCAGAACATTAGCAGAGCCATGTGGTGACTGAATAATCCTTTAAATTTTAAGGTAAGCTAAGTCCCATACAAATCAAACTTCCAGAAATATTTTGCAAACTCTGTCACATGGCTATGATACAGTACGCACAAATAAAATACCAGAATGTCCACATTTTATTGCTTTTTTATTATTTGGTTAAGGAATTATACAGTAGTGTATAAAAGGGTGGGGGAAGCGGCAAGAAGCAAGTGTTGGCTTCTTGACCTCTCAAAAGCCAAGGTTGGTTGTTCGGTTTGTTGTTTGGTTTGTTGTTTAAGTTCTGTGTTTTCAAACAGCACATCAAAAGCATTTCTGTATTGAGTCATGTCTGCATTACCCAAACAGGATAGAAAAGGAGCTGTGAAAGAAGCCTAGGCAATGGGTAATGGGGCTCCATTTCCTACGTGCCATCACTGATCTGTACCTCCAGAATACAATCATTGACAAAACATCCAGTCTAACATTATATGTTAGTCAGCAATTAAGAACCAACTTCTACAAACTCATGTTTTGGTGAGGTGGGCAACTCCAATTCACTAACAGTGCAACAAGATCAGTGATATTTGTAGGCAGAATCACCCAGCTTGGCCCCGATCGAGCCTGGAAGAGAACACCTTCTGCAAAATTCAGTGTCCATATTCCAGAAGGTTATAAACACACTGTGTTTTGATGCACCAGTATAAACAAACCCTCAAGTTCCTCTCTAGCAAGTAAACCTCACTCACATGGCATGTGTCGGTGAGAACACCGACTGCACCCTCCTATCCTGCTGGTTAGATCCTTCTGTTGGAGAGAACACAAAAAGTGAAGGTGCCAAGAAGCAATTACATTCACATTAGCCAGGAAGCAGCCCACAAGTCTACCCTGGGCCTTCCCCACTTGCTCACACACCTGGTGGCCAGGAGCTTTACTCAAGACACTTCAGAGAGCAACCAGATGGAAGAGCCCAGCAGCATCAGCAATCCAGTTCAAAAGATCTCCAGCAACCAGTCCATGATACCATCAGCACACTACTGATGGATCCCAAGGCATGGACTACTGGGGTGTTACTCAGCAGGCTGCACTGTAGACTTTATCTCTTAAACATGTTAAAGTTTTTCAATACCTTTGGGGTTTTTAAGAAATGGATAGGCTCATCTCACAAAATACAGCAATACAGCAAAGCTACAAGAATGCTGAAGTGAAAACCCAAGCACTTGGCAGGTGATGGCTCCTGTAGGCTCACAATATAAAAACACAACTTTCCCCTCTAAACAATAAATCCTGTTATAGATGGGCAGGATGTATCACTCCTGCTTTCATCTGAGGACAAACTCATTCATGGATATACTTGGTCACAATCAGAAATTTAGCTGAAGCTCTTAACCATCCCTTAGGCTCTGTCTCTCGTTGTGAACAGCCTACTACCAACACAACCCCTGACAAACTTCCCCTTAAATATGCATAATTTACTCCATCTCAAATATTTACAAGCAGAAGAAGCCCATCTTTGCAAGACAGATTTCCTTCTGCTCTACATAAAGTGCAGCTCTCTAATTTAAGGCAAATTTCAGTGAAATATAAAAATCATAGATTTTAGTATGTACACATTTTAAATTAAAAACAAGGACTCCCTTGAAAAGGAAGGAATGAGTGGAAAATGTTTCCAAGTTTGGGAATTTTCTGGATTTTAACATAGTCCCAATATTATGTCCTAACGACATAGAAATTAATGAATTTATTTTCAATAAACACAAACAAAAGAGGTGGCCATGTGTACTGTAATTTAGCTCCAAAGATCAGTAAAACACTGGGAAAGTGCAGCCATAGTTTTTCAGGTCACATCGTTTCCTTTAGCTACAGTAGCATCTGTCAGTCTCACATTTCTAAGTAGATAGCCTAGACATCTAACGCTAATCTCAGCTCTTGTAATGAGTATTGTTCATCTCCATCTGTGTCAAATTTCTTAAAGCTCTGTGACTCTGGGGCTGTAGAGCCAAACAGCTTCTGAAGATCTTCATATGATAGTTTTCCATCATAACCTCCAGTTGCCTTTTGAAACAAATTCTGAAGATCTGCAAAGAGAAGGGGGATTGAGAAGTAGCTCCTTTAAGCACACAGCAATATCCTCTAAGCTGCTCTTCCAGTTCTATCGCTCTACGTCTTACTACCCAGTAGTGAAATCCTCCAGTACACAGTTTGCCCTCTGCAGTGTTCCAAGTGTTGCAATAGTTTAGGAGGAAAAAAAAGCACAAACATTTCTGGATTAAAGTACATTAAAACAGGAAAAAAAAGTAATCCTCCTTTCTGGGCACAACTAAGAGCCCACACAACAACCACCAACTGCATACAGAGGCAGTTACCCTCTGCAAAGCAGGCTCCAAGTGACTGTTGCTATACCAATAGCACAGAGGATATAAAAGTGTCTGTTCACTTCCCAGTGCAAAGCATTGCCCTTCCAGTAGCCAAAGAGCCTAACAGCCAGATCCACAAGCCATTCAATTCACCAGGCAGTGTTCTCTTAAAAAAAAAAAAAAAAAAAACACCACCAAACACAGAAACCCACACACAAAACCTCACCCCAAAACACACACACTTGCACATTCTTCATTTTCCTTCCGCACCCCAATTATTTCTCTCCAAATCTCTGGGGCTCCTGGTATAATAATGTGTCACTCAAAACAATTTTAATTCACTTCTAAAACACTCCTGTTTAAATCCCAAGTTTTTATGTGCTAGCTATTCTTCTAGTGTTTGAGGTTTTTTTATTTTTTTAGAATCCATAGTTCTCAAGGTTTTAGAACTCACCTCACTTCTCCCAGAATGCCCAGACACACTACCATAATTCCAGTTACTATACTTATCAGATCTTAAGCATTTACATGAAATATTCAGGAAGAGAAGAGGTCAGCCTAGATAAGACATACCACTGAAGCTGGAAATTCCTGGTAAGGACAGATGCCTCAGCTGTCTGTTACTCTCCGTGTTGTCATCAGCTGACCTTGAAGCCAGCCTTGGAAGGTCTGTGGGCTTTGCTGTAGTAGTCGCACTACTTTCAACTGTTACAAAACAATTTCTATTAGTCTCACTAATTCCACAGAATTATGGTTAGTAGAAAAAAAAACAATCTGAAATTTTTTTTTGTAAATTACAGATGCTACAAAACCATTTCAGAATACAGCAGGTTTTTCTTTCTACCAATAGCTGGAAGAACAGAAGGAAGGAATTTTTTAGACAGTTATGCAGCTTTAATCCTTTGTGCTCTTCTCGGAGTTGTCTTTGTACACCCCATAGGAAGCACTTCCAAGTCATTCTTTGTACTTCCCAGTGTGAAAGAACTGAACAAGCTTCATGAAGCAAATTCCACCTGCCCATGCTGGTTGTTTTCACCTTGTCAGTGGAGGTATCTTTTCTCCAACAGCAAGGTGTAACTTCCAAGCCATTGCTTCACAAATGAACAGGCAGCACAGTTCTATTGCAATGAAGTAATGTAATTCCAATCTACCCAAATACGTGCAGCAGAAGTGCAGAGCCAAGAAGCCAAGACAAGTCAGTAGACACAGACCCCGTCCCCTGTGTTAAATTTTGAAAGGGCAAAAACAGATGTTACTGGGTATAAATTTCAACAGGTCTATCACTGTATGCCTTCAAACACAAGCTACTGGAGGCACGCAAATCCTGCTATACATGTGGACAGTCACCTTCAAATTATATTATATAGTTTTCTGGTTTAGAGCCATCAGTTTCCTACCACTTTATCTGCAATAATCTTCAGGAACAGTCGAAATTAGCCATGTTCATTCATTATTCTGAATTACACAGGGAACCTTCAGGTTTATAGATTCCTATTATATGACATTCTTACCATTCTTTGATGTCTCAAGGGGTCTGTCATTTTCTGGCTTGCTTGTGAGAGCGCTGATCAGCTGCAGCTTCTCTCTTAGTTTTAGTACCTGAGGGTCTCTAGCTTCTGTTTCCTGCAGATGTAGAAAAAAAAAATTCCTTAAAAGAATCTCTTTAGTAGATGGTAAAGATCAGGAAAAGTCATTTAAAAATATATAAGTATTTCTGAGTAACTCTGAGGTCTCCACACAGATCAAGTTTAAAATGATATTTATTTAAAGAAAAAAAAATTCTATGGAAAAGAGTAACAAATAAATTTACATGGTCTGTAAGAAGACAACAGAATCACTGCCTCAAGCTGTAGGCAGTTATTTTGCAGACACTGATTTCAAAAGAATCTGACATTCCATTTCTGTGTTTCTTGCATAAATGAGGGCGATTCTGAGACGCTGCGATATAAACCTGTCAAACACACTCGGAGTGAGCGCTCGTACATCACCTGGACTGCATCATGGTTTCAAACCTCTGTCTGCAGAACAGACAACCTGAGTGCAGGAGTCACTGCTGCCTGCCAGAGTCCCCTGCTCAGAACCTCCCAGGATTCCTTCCGCTGCATGGAAGGATGTTACAGTAGTCAGGCTGGCAAGACTTTAAACTATGACAACTTTTCTCCCACCCTAATCGACTTTGTCACAAAAATTCGGTGGATAAGCTCTCCTCCTACTCTGACTTAAAAGAATCACAGTAGCCCGCTTGCAGATCATTCCTCAGTTTAGTCTCATTTAAGACATTATTATAAAGACAACAACATGTTCTACAAATCTGGTGTAGTTTGTGTTTCCTTAGTTTACCTTCAGTTCTTTCTCTGAAAGAGTTTCATTATCTACCTGGTCTTCATTTTCCACTTTTAGAGAGGTAGTTGCATCATTCCCCTACAAAAGAATAGAGGAGAGATTAATTTTTTCATCTGCATATTATTTTCTACAATAGTTTCTCTCCTTCACATTTGGCAGGCACAATGCAGGCAAACACAGAACAAATACATGCTAGAACAAACCTGAAGACCGTGGGTTATGTAACTTACCACAGCAACAGCAAAACACTAATTGCTAAACACACAGAACATGTTCTCAGAGACTGGCCCCTGTATGGTATACAGAAAACACTAGAAGGATTTACAAACTATTTTTGGGTGGTTTGGGTTTTTTTAGCATTTCAGCACTGCTGAACAACGCAGAGGCCCACCTAGCTCCTCAGTGGTCTCAAAAGAGCCATGCCAGAGTGCCTTCCTAAAATACAGAGAGGTTTGTGACTCTCGTTCCATTAAGCAGTCACCCAAGTCTTAAATACCAGTGGTTTGGATGTTTTTCTGTAGGTTCTGCAGGGAAGAAATGACTGCTTCAGAGATACCCTTAATGTTGGTTATCTGTTCAGAAACAAGGAACAAATTCCAACCTTTTAAAATTAAATCCTAAGTGTCTCAAGTTTCGTTCAAAAATCTTCTTTAGTTAGGTTTCAAAAGTTCTACCTGTAGTATGCAGAAAATACTGAAACTGTCTTCCTGAGCAGACACCCTTAGTCATCAAATACTTACCAAACTGGTAGACAAATTCTCTCTTTTGTCCAGATTATTCACGCCAAGGGGAGAGTTTTCCAACAGCACAACCCGACGGCTAAGGTTACCAATGTCCAAGTCCATATTTAGGAGCTTGATGTCATTCAATTTTTGGTACTTCACCACAGTATTATTGAGCTCCTGCAACGCTGCTCTCAGTGACTGGCTTTCCTGAAACAAAAACCCAGCACACGTTAGTTCACTCCATCTCTGCAGCGCTCTTACTGCTGACAGCACAGTAACTGACCCAGTTTAACTTCAGACTGGCTCTCCACTGACTCCGCTGAAAACACCCAACTGGAAGTTTCCAGAAAGCAATGCCAGCTTTTGAAGTCTCAAACAGAGACTCTTCCTCAGGGCTAACCTCTTTGTTGCTAGTGTAACCACTTTAGCTGTGCCAGCAAACACAGAAAGCCAGTCCTCTCATTTCACAGGGCAAGCTGAGTAACCACACCAACCATTTTTCCAAAAAAAGCATGTACTAGGCATATTTATACAGATGATTCATTTCTGAGGAAGATATCAACTGTGTTACATGTAAATAAGCACAGTCATTCCATTCCAAGCCAGTCAGCTAAACACCCACACATTTTTGGGTCACTGAATCCCTGCTTTCCACACCTTATTACAGCAAGGGTGACTCGATATATGCCACTCCCAAGTTTGCTCAGATTGGCAAGTACCTGCCACAAAATCCATTCTGTAAAAAGCTTTTAACTTATCTTCATTTACACAAGCAAGGTACACCTGGAATTCACTGGTTAGTAGTTTTAGTATTTTTACTCTTCAGCCAGTTAGAACACACGAAAAAACCAAAACCACAAAACCTATCAGACTAGGGTACTTCCCTGTTTGCACATCACAACAAACTACAGCAAAATCATCTCATAATTAATTTTGAATGATGTTATCTGTATAGTCCTGACAAAAAACCACACTTTTTTGTACACCACAGTCCTGCAAAACACACAAAGTTGCATCTTTGCAATGCCTGTACCAATACTCTTTATGCAAGGGAGAAAAATACCTTTTTCCAATTTTCTGTCTGATTTCCCTCCGTCCTTGGCACAGCAGTGGAGGGAAGTGAAGGTACCTGTTTTAATTCCTTCTAAGGAAAGAAGTAGAAAATTTTGTTACCAAAGGCTTGTATAAGACATTCCAAGTTCTTAATAACTAGCAGGCTGTAGCTAAGGACTGTTTGCTACAATTACAGTCACTTTTGTCTGCTGTGCATACATTATTTTAACTAGACTAATGCAGACTTTTCTCCTTCAAACACCTAAGGTCCAAATTTATTTTAATGAAACCCTCCTAATTAGCCTTTCTCCCTTTAATGAAGTATTATGATACACGTTTCACTGCTAGCATACACACTGCCGTATCTGCAACATTTTTGTAGCACCTACTGATTGAATCAAGTTTTATAATGTGTCCAATTTAGATTTTGTATCCAATTTAGATTGTGTGCAAGTATTCTTAAAGTAATGCTGTGTTGCCGTTTAGCTGAAAAAAATTAATTACTGGTTCAGTTTGTTAACTCCAAGGGAGAGTTCAGTATAAATACAGCAAGTACTTTCTGGTAAAGATGGTCACTAATTTCACCCTTATATGCATCCTTAATTCAACCAACAAAATATCTCAACACTTCCACTGCCTCCAACCCCAAAACAGAGCAGACAGTTGCAACAAGCAGTACCCTGCAAGACACAGAACAGATTCCCAAGGCTCCACATCTGTGTGGTAGGAAGCAAAAAGTCTGCAGGGTAAGAAGCATAGCATGGACCGATAATTCTAGCTCCAGAGAAGTACACACTGGGTACCATGTAGGAGATGCTACACAGGGAGTAGAAGATAGGCTTATTAATGTACCAACCAGCAACCACTGGGACTTCAAAATTACTTTGAAGGCTGAATTCCACACAGTTCTTAAACTTACTTCATATCATAGGATTGTTTAGGTTGAAGAAGACCTTTAAGATCATTTAGTCTAACAGTTAACCCAGCACTGCCAGGTTACCACTAAACCATGTCCCTCAGCACCACAGAATCATTAAGGTTGGCAAAGACCTCCAAGATCATATTAGGCAGGTTAACAGTTAAAACATAACATTAAATCTGTCCATTTTCTTACCACATCATTCCGGAGTGTTTCTATGGATTTCTTGTATTCTTCAATAGCTGTCTGTATATTTTCAACGTCATGAGAAACACTGGTAAGCGTGCTGCCGATGTTCGCTACAGTCTGGAATAAAGAAGCCGACAAAAATCTCAGCCTCCCACGACCTGCACTGTCCCCGAGTTTCAATCTGCCACCCAGCAAGGTCTGGTTAGTGAAACAGCAGGCAGACGGACACAAAAAGACCCAAGGGAATTTGAAGAACTTTGAGCTCTGCAGACAAAACTACAGATTATACCCATTGTCTCTGCAGGCCAGTAAACAAAGATACACTCTACACCATGAGAGCTTAAGCTACACAACCAAAATTACACGTTTGCTACTCCTACTCTCAAAACAAATACTCTGGCATTAATTTAAAAACAAATAATCCTGGTATGAGGACATCTTACCCGCTCTCTGCATGGAGTATTTGTATTGAATACAGGGATGCTGACAACACCAATTTATCCTGCTTTGATTGCCTTGCAGGATTACCCATCAGACACATCATGCACAGCAAACTGAGCCTGCATGCTGATCCAAGCCACCGTGCTGGTGGCCTTGGCCACCTGGGCACACGCTGGCTCCTCTCTCAGACGCTGCCAGCTCCGTCTTCACCAGGCACCTTTCCAGCCACTCTTCCCCAAGCCTGGAGCATTGCATGGCATTGTTGTGACCCAGGTGCAGATCCAGCACTTGTTGAACCCCATCCCATTGGCCTCAGCTCATCGGTCCAGCCTGGAGAGATCCACCTTTAGAGTTTTCCTACCCTCAAGCAGACCAACACACCCACCCAACTTGGTGACATCTGCAAACTTAGGGTGCACTCGATTCCCTTGTCCAGATCATCAATACAGATGTTCAACAGAACAGGCCCCAGTGCTGAGCCCTGGGGAACACCACTTGCAACCAGCCACCAACTGGACTGCATTCACCACCATTCTTTGAGCCCAAATTCCTTCCTCTGATTCTCCTTCTAGCCCTCCTTGTAGATGGGCATCACACTTGCTAACCTCTAGTCAAGTGGGACCTCTCTGGTTAGCCAGAACTGCTGACAGATTCTTTCTTCCTAGAAAGGCAGCTAATTCCAAAGACAGTTGGATGCAACAGACAGTTAAGCAGGAGATTTTTCCAATGGGGCTATCAAAAGCCAGACTACCCACCTATACCCACTGAAGTTCTCCTGTGTGACATGCACCCAGAGGTCAAAAAAAGTCCAAGTCTTGAAACTTATTGCTTTACATTAACATTAAATCATTAAAACTATTGTATTTAAACCTCCTAAGTTTTTTTTTTTTTTTTTTTTACACTCAGCACCTCACAATGTATCATCCTGGAAAGATTTCAGCTCTGTTTTTATTCTATCAGCCTTCTAAAACAGATGAAAGAAAGATAGCATCAAGAGAGCACGGGAAAGAGATGCCACATCTAACACCTTAGATTCAGCAGCAGAAACTGGGAAGAACTCAAAAGCTGTCAAGACCTTCGATTTTCAAGAAGTGTGACCAAGGATAGACTTAGTTCAACACGAAAGTCTTGCTGTTCAGGAGATTGCTGCAAGCTGAAGAAACCTGTTGCTCCTAACCCTATGTACTCTAGGTGACCCTGCTCTGGCAGGGGGGTTGGACTAGATGATCTTTCAAGGTCCCTTCCAACCCCTATGATTCTATGATACTACCAAAGACAGTAAGATAACAAGGTTTTTCTACATTTTTATAGATACACACATACAAAAATCATGTTGGTACAGGTTCCAGACTAGGCCCTGTCTCAAGGCTTACGTGTGATATGACACAGTGGAAATCCAGCAGGCTTATAACAGCAAATTACAAGCTTAGGAAATAGCATTGCACTCTTCCCAGAAAAAGAAATCCAAGCAGCCTGATCAGTCAAACCACACTAATTGCTTTGCCTATGAATAGTTTGTCAATTACACATTAATTTAGTTGGGATAGGAAATGAGAAGTGGAAACCCATAAAAGCCACACAGACTGGACTGACATCTGGTGTTAGCCCAACACAAATGTTTATTGACAAATAAACGGAGCTGCCATGGTGGAGCTGGCAAAGTTTCAACAAGCTATTCTTTCAACATTTAGGATAGTTCTTTGGTGTAGAAAGGCACACGGTAAGACACTGCATTGACAGAAGTCACTTCAGAAGAAAGCTTGTGTCACCCATCTTTTAAGGGACGGTCAGAAAACCATCCCAGTACAATTCACGTTTAGCTGTGAAAACTCATGTTTTGTGAGAAAACTCCCTTCCTAGTGGTCCAAGTCCACTCCTTCCAAGTTAGACCCCCACCTACCTCGAGACTGCACATGCAGAGCCAGCTGGAGAATCACCTACTGCTCAAGATAAGCAAGTTTTACAGAAAGCAGTTAATTTTCTTCTCCAATTAAAAAAGCTAAACAAGCCACGTATTTGCAAGCACAAGCTGTAAAACCACAGATTTTTTGCAAGTGTCTCAAAAGATACTAAGATTAGCAAGCTGAAGGAAAGCAACCAGAAAGATCAGCTCTAAGGTAAAGAAGTGACAACATAATACAGACGGATCTCCAGAAAAGGACAACCAAAGCCTTAAAACTTTTTACTTGCCATACATTACCAGAGGCTCATGCAATATCAAGTCTATGAAGTCCAGCATAAAAACAAGAGAAACAACTATTCCCCACATGCAATTCAGGTGACTCCTATTGTCACTGCTGTCCCCAAGAGCCTAGCCACAGTTTTGCAGCACAGCATGTGTAGCAACAGCCACAGTTACAGTACTTGCCTTCTGAAGTTTCTCTACAGTGAGAGGAAGAGAAATCAGATCAGAAGCAGACTTTATGTTGGTTTTGAGATGATTTACTGTTGAGGTCAATAGTGACACCTAAAACCAAAGAGATATTTAGAATTAGTCAAGATAATCCCAATTCTGATCTTTGCCAATACTAATGATTTAATCTATAGCATTACAATGTGAAGCAAGAAAAAATTACATATGTACACACAAAAAACACCCCTGGCTCTAGGTTACAACTCCTGCCTAGACATTAAAAACATTCTGCCTCTTGCAAGGCAGATTTGCAAGACTTTCTTCCTCTTGCAGAAGCAAGATCATTTTTTTGTAAACTGAATGAAAGCCATCTATTTTTCTCTTTTCCGTAAGGTACCTCTGCCCATTTTACATTCATCACCTTAGAGGGAGGCTGCTGCCCAAGAAATTTTAAAGACTGTGCAAGAAGCGTTTATGTGGAGTAAAGTCATCCCCTTCTGTGGTTAGCAGTCAAACCTGCCTGGCAAAACCCAGCAAAGCCAAGCAGCTTCTCTAGCTGAGTGGTAAGCAAAGCTGCATCATCACCCAAACCTTCTCCTGCAGAAGTGGAACACTGACAATGCAGGTTCAGTGGGTTAGCTCATTTTTCTGTCAGCTGTTTGATACAAAGTCTTCAAGATTACTTATTCATTCCAATAGAGAGCTTATCAAATACATGAAAAATAACTACACTCTAGTCATTAATTGCTAATACTATCACTTGAAAATGTTACCATCAGTAGTCAAAACAAAGAATTAATTTCTTCTCACATTTGACAATATAGAAGTAGAGCAGATAAAACCCACTGTCTTTTGGTTTAAAAAAACCCCAAACACATTCTTTTGCTAGCTGAGGAAATGGGCAAGGTCTTAATTTTACGTAAGGCAAACACTGATCAGCTGGCGTGCAAAGTCTCAGGTTCCACAGCTGTGAATATTGGCTGAAATAATTCCCAGCAGTACATCCCAACAAGTCACAAAAAAAAAAAAAAAAAAACACAACTAAATTTTGATCCCCAGAAGAGTTGGCTTAAGACTGTAACCAGACCCTGAAGTAACTTGAGGGCCTGAAAGAACCATGTGCAAGTATCTTTAACGTCCAGGTGCAGATGACAACGTTTTACAAATCCCTACACATCTGTGGACAATGCAAACTGTCAAGATGCCAAAGAGAGCAAGTCAAATTTTCAAATGTATTTATGTGCTCCATTAAGCACTTAACCACTGCATGAGACTGAAGAAGAACCAAACTGAGCAGGCACCTCAGCACTCCTAAAAATTAAACCCTAAGCACCAGTGTCAGGGAAAGTTCCCCACAGACAGATCTTGGCAACCCAGAAGCTTCATCCTCCAAGGCAAGAATTTCATTAACAGCCTTGCTGGAGGCTTCGTTTGAAGCACGAGTTAATACAGCAGCTAAGGAAACAACTTTCTGTTAAGTGGCTTAGTTCTAGCCACGTAAACAGAGCTAAGGCTTACACCAGCTGAGATGCCGAGTGTGTGTTAGCAGATTTCACATTCACGGGACACCAGTACTTCATCTGTAGCAGCAGGAACTTGGGGGGATTCAGGCAACGCTTTCCCACACTTCTGAAATGTTTGCAGGTAATCTCAGAAAGCCAGTGTGAAACATCTCATAATAAACACCACAATTATCTGGCAGGTAAATTAAGCTCTGCCTAGTTCTCAGGTTCTTTTAAGTTCTGCCTGAAGTCTTTCCATCAGTTGGGGAATTTCTCCTATTCACAAGCAGCCTCCAGTCCAACCAGATGCTCCAACTGTTTTGCTTGTTTAATAATGAGGCTTATACTCCATTTTAACTTTAAAAGTTCAGCATATGATCACAGAAGTCCCTAGATAAAAGTTCAGCGCTGCACTGGAAACTAATTTCTGTAAAAATAAACTTCAGTGGAATATTTTACTATTTTTCAAAACCAAGCACTGATTCCTCTCACCTGTTTATTGATCTCTGTGATATTTATCCAGATTTTATTTAGCCCCAGTTCTCCAGTCTCAATTTGTTCTAGTTGCTTTTGCTTCTGCACCAAATCTTCATTCAGCTTAGGAATTTCTTGGAAAGATGTCTTTTGATTAGATTCCACTAAAAAAAAAAAAAAAAATAGTAAATTTGTTTTGTTTAAAAAAGTCCAGGTAAAGAACATGGAAAGGCAGAAAACAACTTATAAGCAGCAACACCTAGAGCAGTGAAAGAATGCAAAGAACAGCACCTGCAAAGGGTTTTATTGACAGTTCAGAATTCAGTGTTTATTCAGAATGGTAGCTTTTTTTTATTCCAAGAGTACTAATGTCTGTAGAGGAAACCTAGAGAGGCTGTACTAAATTTAACACTGTCACCCTGGCAAGCCTCAGCAGGCCTTTATTTAGTGCACTTATTTTGTGTTACTTTTGCAGAGGAACATGAAATAGTAATGGGACTGTGAATAAGAACTGCCAACATCAGCTAGGCAAAGGAGGCATGTGAAGTGAATCTCTGTGCCCCTTTTCAAGCCTTCAAAGGCAATGGTGATGATGAATTCCAAAGAGATTAACTGATTACAGTTGTTCTGTCTCACAGAACGACAGCTGAAAAAAAATGTGCAAGCTTACACACTAACATTTGTTGGCAAACAAGGTCCTTGGAAAGAAAGTCAATTACTATTGCAATTAATATTATGGTAAGGAGGAAACGTGCAGCTCAAATCAGTTTAAGGGAGCCTCAGAAATGCAGCTCTACCAGCTCTGCAGTGACGAAGCTGTCCAGCTGCAAGCACTGTGAGGCAATCCTAAGTCCCCAGGTCTGAGAAACAAACAAACAAGGGTTTTGAGGGAGATGACAGTTCTCCAACAAGCTGCACCTCCACCCTGTAACTGGAAGGCTCCACAACAAACCTCCATTGTTCAAGACTGCCAAGAGCAATGAGTGAGACCTACGTGTTACATCACTGGCAGCTCCCAGAACACGCTTCCCTGTGTGACCCACCCGGGCAAAATGGGGAAGCCTTCAGGAGTGCTTCATGCCCGTGCAGTGGTGCCCAAAGACACACAACTGCAGGGCCCTGCATCTTCAAAACCCCCCTGAGCCTTTCTTGAAGAGAGTCCTCCAAGTCACTGCTAGGTACAGAGTAATCTGCTTTGATCACCAAGATCCAAATGCCACTTTTGGTTAAGACTTTAAAAGGTGTGTTTTAGCCAAACCAGACTAAGCTAATAGTGCCTTTGACACAAGCAGTTCACGCCGAATCTCATGTTTCAGAAGCTCCTGTAGACATTTATTTTCTCTTTTGCCACTCCCACTGTGTCAGAGTGTCTGCAAAAAGGTTGTCTGCTTTTTAGTTGTTGGTTTTAGTGCTGTGCCTCACTATGAGGCTCCTATTCAGCTTTGAGGCATGCTAGTACAGCAGCACAGAAATCCGAGACTATTTTATCACTGGAGGAAGTATTAAACACACAGCTTTTTTACTCAGAGCTATTAAGAAGAAAATAAGCACATTTGTAACTGCCAGACAGTAAGAGTTGAGAGAATCACTGCTTGAACAAGATCTATATACAATAGGAATGATGAAACTTAAGACCACAGCCAACAAACATTGTCATCACTTCACCCTCTTCTGCTCCATTCCCACAGCTTCTCAGCCTTTTCCAATATATAGGAATTTAAACTCTACTAAAATAAGGCACCAAAACTTATCTTGCGTCCAGAGATGAGGTATAGAGAACCAAGAGCACGTTAACATGTAAATCTCACCATTTGTCACACCTCAGCAATACAGAAATTACAGCATTAAAATCTTACAGACAGGAAAACCTTGAGACCTACAAGCAAAATGCTTCACACCAACTGCATCTTTTGAAGCATTAAACATGATGTCACTCCACACCACATGCAACTCGACACACAAGCTGAGCAAGAACAGGTCAATGCGAGCAAGATAAACATTCAGAGGGTCTAAAGAAAATCATACTACCAAAGCAACACTCCAACTGCAGTATTAGAGGTTTTTAAAAAAGATCAAGACAAGAACATTGGTTTTCCATTAATATTTTTTAAATGATACATCGAAATCCCCCTGCCTGCTTTTACAGGGCTGATCAGATTTTTTTTTTTTTCCTGTATAAATCAGGGTTTCCTTTGGAAGACAGGACTCCCGAGACCAAAGTCAAGAATTTTAGAAATACATGTCCAGTCAACAACAGCCCCACCTAGTCCATTGTCCCTGCTGCTCAGAAGATGTAGAGCAGGCAAGAATATACATCATTTGCCTTAAATTCCACGTGGTTTTGGCTCCAAGTACTGCTCAATTCAGGAGCAATTTTCAGCAGCAATTTGTCTGCTCGGTACTTCCAGACTTTGAATAAGCAAGCAGGCAAAGCTCTTCACACTACCCATGTGAAATAACATTGTCACGTTTATACTTACTAGTTCGAAACTTCTCCTTTATGGCATCCAGGTCCTCCTTGAGGGCCACCTGCATCCAGACTAAGCCCACGCAGGCTACCACACAGGCAGCAAGAACGACGAACACACACAGCGGGTAACAGAACCTGCAGCATCGTAGGTAGTCTCCTCTGGATGAAATAAAATTAACAAATACTAAATACTCAACAGCACCTAGAAATGTCTTATTTTAAACTGTGTTCTACCAAAATAAGGGGCAGCACCAGAACCGCACACGTTTTGGCTGACAGGAGCTAGCAAACAGCTTTTCCAAGAATAAATAAGGCTATGCAGTGAGATCAGGGCTGTTACTCCCTTGAGTTTATCCTCAGGGGGCACAGCTAAGAGCAGCTGTCAGGTTTCTCTTACCAAAATTCCCTGCTCCACTCGCATAAAATTATGTTAGGAACATCTGCTTGATAGCTTAGGAAGCAGCCTTCAAGAAACGGCATTACCATAAAGTTATTACAAATACTTCCAGATTATCCTAAGCTGTGAAAGCCTAAATATCTCTGTGATGTGCCTGCTTTTAGTTATTCTTTATGATGCTGTAACTTAACAGAAAAGTTTGTTTACTGGCAGAAGCATATCATGTCTGCAAGAAACCCAGCACCTTGTCAGCTTGCAGAGACAGGCGCTGTGCTCAACATGCCAAGCAACCAACCCTGAACTGCTCCAACAACTTAGAATCATCAGGTCACTAAGGCTGGAAAAGACCTCTAAGACGATCAAGTCCAACTGTCAACCCAACACTACCACAACCACTAAACCATGTCCCAAAGTGCCATGTCTACAAGTTTTTTGAACCCTTCCAGGGATGGTGACTCCATCACCTCCCTGGGCAGCCTGGGCCAAGACCTCACCACTCTTGCAGGGAAGAAATTCTTCCTAATATGCAATCAAAATCTCCTCTGGTGCAACTTAACCCCATTTCCTCTTATCCTATCACTAGTTACTTGGGAGAAGAGAACAATGCCCACCTCACTCCAACCTCCTTTCAGGGAGTTGTAAAGTACCAGAAGGTCTCCCCTCAGCCTCCTCCAGCCTAGACAACCCCAGGTTTCGTTGCCCTCCTCTGGACCAGCTCCAGCCCCTCAATGTCTTTCTTATACTGTGGCATCCAAAACTGACCCCAGTACTCAAGCTGTGTCCACCCAGTGCCACGATCGCTGCCCTGCTTCTGCTGGACCCACCACTTCTGACACAGGACAGGATGAGCTCAGTTGCAGGGAGCGCAGAACAGGAAAACCACAACAAGCACCCAGAGGACGGGTCAGACCCAGTCCTACCCCCAGCCCGGCAGCCTGTGCGGCCACGCGCACCCAGGGCAGCCCTATCTCTTTCCTGGCACTGCCCAGCGGCCCACAGGCCCCCGGCTGCGCA